AGGTATTTCTGTATCCACAAATCAGTTAGTGTGATATACTACATCAATAAACTGAAGAATAAATCCATATCATTATCTCAATAGCTGCAGAAAAGCTTTTGACAAAATCATTCATTTATGATAAAAACTCTGGAAAGTGGGCATAGAGGGAAGATACCTCAACATAATAAAGACAACATATGACAAACTCATACCTAACATCATACTAAGCAGTGAAAAGCTGAAAGCATTTTGTCTGTGATCAAGAACAAGACAAGGATGTTCACTCTCGCTGCTTTTATTAACATATTTTTGGAAGTTTTAGCCACAGCAGTAAGAGAAGAAAAAGATATTAAAGGAATCCAAATTGGAGAAGAAGTAAAACTGTCACTGTTTGCATGTAACATGATACTATACATAGACTATCCTAAAGATGCCACCAGGAATATATTTTACTAGAACTCATCAATTAATTCAATAAAGTTTCAGGATACAAAATTAATACTCAGAAATCTATTGCATTTCTATACAGTGAATTTAAAATAGGTAACCAATAAGGAATAGATCCTGATGCTGGGAAAGATTGAGAGGAGATGGGAACGACAATAGATGAGATAGTTGGATAACATCACCAACACAATGGACATGAGTTTGAGCAAACTCCAGCAGATAATGAAGGACAGGGAAGCCTTGTGTGCTGCAGTTCATGGGCTCACGAAGAGTTGGACACAGCTTAGGGACTGAGCAACAACAAACCAATAAGGACCTACTATATAACACAGGGAACTCGGCTCAATGTTCTGTAATAATCTAAATGGGAAAAGAATTTGAAAAAGAATGGATACTTATGGGTCTAACTGAATCACTTTGCTGTATGCCTGTAACTTAACACATTATTGTTAATCAACTCTAATATAAAAATTTTTTAAAAGAATAATATCATGGGTTATGATATAATAAAAGTTAGCTACCTGACATTTTATCTAAGAATGCTTGTCTATTTCTCTGTATTAAATTGTTCAGCAATCATAGATAATCATTTAGTTAATACCTTTTTAGACTCTCTATCCAAAATTTCTTCCTTAAGAAAAATGAATTGTTCTACCTTGAGTTAAGAATCTTTACTAAAAGGAAAATATTCTTCTAAGAATTGATTAACCAGTTTACTTATTAGCCCTCTCCCTTTTAAGAATCCTCTTTAAAAAAGTGTTTTCAGACATGCACTGTGTTCTGAAAACATTCATGGCTTGTTTTTCTTCACTGTAGAGAGAATTGTGTGCTATGTTTATGTTTCCATATTATGGCTAACATAAGAGAACCCAAAGTGTTTCTACTTACCGGCTCACTTGTTTTAGTATGGTAATTTAAAGTTTCAAGTGTTTTAACTTTGGAGTCAGCTGTTTAATTATATTTGTTTATGCACAGCAGTAAACCCTGAAGTGTGGTAGAATATTCTCCTCTCCAGATGTTGACCTGTCACTTGAATATTGTGGACTGGTTCTTGGTAGCCACTTCTTTCTTTTCTGCACTTTGCTGCATTCTCAAACTTACTTAGTTAAATTATGGCTTTGCTTAAATACGATCCTCTGTGTTCCCCATCTGTACCCATGCAGCTGAATATATCTGGGGAAAAATATGATCCCCGGTGATACTTTAAATTCCAAGAGATCTTCCTGACCAAGAAATGGAACCCACATCTCCTGCATTGCCAGGTGGGTTCTTTACCACTAGGGCCACCTGGGAAGCCCCATTAAGTTCCATTGGACCCTTAGTGCCATTTAGCAGTTATGGGTATTTATTTACCTGTCTGTTTGCTTCTAGAAGGCTATTACATATCTTCTCTTTCCTCAAAGCCCCAGTGCATCCTCATCCAACCTAATTCTTAAGGATGGCTTTACGTCCTGATTCACTGAAAAAAATGGAAGCAATGAGCAGATAATTTCTGCTGGCTCCTACTTTCGTCTATACCCGTAACTGCATTTGGACTCCTTTACCCAATCTTCTCTCCAGTTCCATCACTAAATTCTCTGTACTCCTGACTACAGCCAGCCCTGTACTTGTTCAGTGAATCCTTTCCCTTCCTGATTATATAAGGAAGTTGTACCAGAAATTTTCTCCTTTCCTGTATCATCAAAATTGCCTTCTTGTTGGATTATTACTGTCAGGATTCATTCACTTGGAAAATATTTACTGAGTGTCTGCTATATGTTAGGCACAGTTATAGGTGCTAAGAATATGTTGGTAGAGCTTACGTTCTAGTTGAAGAAACAACAGTAAATAAAAAATATATTAAGTTAGTCATCTCATATGAACAAAGATGGAAGCATGCTATGAGAAATAAAAAGTAGAGCAGGCAAGAGGGGTTGGAGAGTCCTGGGAAAATGATACAGATTTCAGCATTGAACATCATGCTTGAGGCAGGCTTCACTGTGAAGGTTTTTAGATTTAAGACTTGAAGGAAATGGAGGGGTTAGCTAGGGGGTTGTGTGAGGGCAAGAATACCCAGCAGAGGCATGACTAGATGAAAAACCCTAAAGACAGAGACTGCAGTGCATTGTGGAGGAAGTGCAGGGTGGCAGGGTAGTTGGCAGAGTGACCTGAAAGAGAATACTAGGGGGAGAGGTGAGAAACTTCCATGGTATGGGTTGGAGGTCCAGATTGTGTAGGACCTTTGCTGATCATCTAAAGGCCTTTGTCTTCTGTTCCAGTGAATTGAAAACATTGCAGTTGGTTGTGTTTTTTTTTTTTGCAGTTGTTAATTTTAAGGTTTCTGACTGTAGGTCTCTGCAGAGAAGAGCAGAGGAGAACTGTTCTAAGGTTTTGGGAATATTCATGTCAGAGACAATGATGGCTTGTTCCAAGGTAGTGGAGAAAGTGTGAAGTGATACTAATATATCTTGAAAACAGAGTCAACAGGATTTCCAGAGTGAGATGTGAGAGAAGAAGGGACTTAAAAGATGATCCCAAGGTTTTTGACTTGAGCAGCTGAAAGGCTGGAGGTGCCATCATCTGAGATAGAGAAAGCTACAGTTAGGAGGTTGGCAACGGGAGCAAGAGTGGGAGAAATCAGGAGTTTAATTTTGAATGAGTTCAGATGTCTCTCAGAATGCAATTTCTATATTTAGTAACTTATCTGACCTTTCCACATCTCTAAGTAGGAAGATCCAGTTTTATGGCACCTGGGGAGGTTTAGGCATTGGGTGGTGAGAGCCTCAACTATGGTAGCATCAATGGAAAAGTAAGAGCATATGCTCCCAGTATCAAAAAGGAAGGTCACCCATGTTTTCAGTTTGAATGATGGAAAAATTAGGAAAGCCAGGTCTAAGAACAGATTTAGAGGGAAAGATAGTAGGTTGGGTTTTAGGTGTGGTTCCAGTAATTCAACCAGGTAGAAATAACCATTGTATAGTTAGAATAGAGATTGTATAGTTAAAATAGCCTAGATGGAAAGAAATTTGGCTGAGACCATAAAAACTTGTTAGAAAAGAGAAAAAAAAAAAAGGCAGAGACCCTTGATGAATTATCTCTTTTAGTGTGAAGAGTAAAGAATTGATCCAGTGTGATTAATGACTTTATCCTATAAAGACCCATGTAGTTGATAGTTGCTAATGATGAAACTAGCACAGAACAGATAAGCACTGAGAAAACACTTCTGAGTTTGTCAACTAGGGGTAAATTAGTTTCTTCTAAGAGATAAGTGTCAGCGGACAGCCCTATCCTGTTCACTTGTGTTGTCCAATACCAGATGGTAGCCCACCAGACTTCTCTGTCCATGGGATTGCCTAGGCAGACTACTGGAGTGGTAGCCATTAGGGGATCTTCCCGAAACAGGGATCGAGCCCAGGTGTCCTTCATTGCAGACGGATTTTTTACTATATGAGTCACCAGAGGAGCTCAGGTGTATACATAATAATAGCAGCTAAATTTGAAATGTAACATACTGGAAACTTAGTATGTGTCATACACTACACTATTATATCTACTCATTATTAATCCCCTGATGGCCCAGATGGTAAAGAACTAACCTGCCAATGCAGGAGACCTGGGTTTGGTCCCTGGCTTGGGAAGATCCCCTGGAGGAGGGACTGGCTACCCACTCCAGTATTCTTACCTGAGGAATTCCATGGATAGAGGAGCCTGGTGGGTTATAATCCATGGGGTCGCAAAGAGTTGGACATGACTGAGCCACTGACACTTAATCCCCACATCACTTTCATGATGTAGGTACTCTTATTGTTTTCCCATTTAATACCTAAAGACCAGACAAATTAATTAACTTGTCCAAAGTTGCATAGTTAATGGTAGGAAAAAAAGATCGTATCCAGGCTCTGTAGTATTAAAAATCCATGCTTTTAGCCACTACACTATGCTCCTTTTCTTTGAAGTCTTCATAGATAATCCTTGACAGAACTTATCACTCTTTGACTGACCCTAGGTGACTCTAGAGTTTTAGGGTGTACTTACTGTCAAAGGCTTATAATCTAGGTAGGCATAAGGATATCGTCTTAAAAATTATAATATTAGATACTCTATGCTAAGTGAAAAATGAGAGGTACAATAATAAATAATGAGAATATAGGGTGGGGAATGTAATGATAATGTTATAAGAATATAGGGTGGGGAATGGTCAGTCTAGACCAGGTTTTTATAAAAGGCTTCATGGAAGGAGTAGAATTTGATACCTTAGAGGACAAGTATTCCTTTGACAATTGGATATGCCTAGGGGTAAAATAAATAGGAAACATTCCAAATAATAGTATTAGCTAGAGCAATGGTGTAGATACAGGAAAGAAGAAGATGTATTTAGGGAGAGTTTAATAGTTCAATTTAGCTGGGTGTGTGACCAGAATGGGCAAAGGATTAGAAAGGAATACTGAAGTCAGGTTTTGAACAACCCTGAGTGAGATCCATAGAAATCTGTGAAGTTGCAGTGGTTTGTTTAGAATGGAACTCTGTAGCTCTCAACTGTTTACTTGTTTAAATAGAAGTATATTCAAAGAGACATTTTATTTTATTTCTAGAATGCCAGTTAATGAAAACAGAACGACCAAAGCCAAACACATTTATTATCAGATGTCTCCAGTGGACCACTGTTATAGAGAGAACATTTCACGTAGATACTCCAGAGGAAAGGTAAGAAACTCATTTTTTCTATTTTGTGAAACAGCAGCAGTCAGTCTAAAGATGTATGTGTAATCTGACTTGACCATTTGTCAGTATATTGGTAAAATGCTGTTCAGTTCAGTTGCTCAGCTGTGTTCGACTCTTTGCGACCTCATGAACCGCAGCACACCAGGCCTCCCTGTCCATCACCAGCTCCCGAAGTTAACCCAGACTCATGTCCATTGAGTTGGTGATGCCATCCAACCATCTCATCCTCTCTCGTCCCCTTCTCCTCCTGCCCTCAATCTTTCCCAGCATCAGGGTCTTCTCAGATGAGTCAGCTCTTCGCATCAGGTGGCCAAAGTAGTGGAGTTTCAGCTTCAACATCAGTCCTTCCAGTGAACACCCAGGACTGATCTCCTTTAGGATGGAATGGTTGGATTTCCTTGCAATCCAAGGGACTCTCAAGAGTATTCTCCAACACCACAGTTCAAAAGCATCAATTCTTTGGCACTCAGCTTTCTTTATAGTCCAACTCTCACTACCATACATGACTACTGGAAAAACCATAGCATTGACTAGACAGGCCTTTGTTTGCAAAGTAATGTCTCTGCTTTTTAATATGCTGTCTAGGTTGGTCATAACTTTCCTTCCAAGGAGTAAGCCTCTTTTAATTTCATGGCTGCCATCACCATCTGCAGTGATTTTGGAGCCCAGAAAAATAAAGTCAGCCACTGTTTCCACTGTTTCCCCATCTGTTTGCCATGAAATGATGGGAGTAGATGCCATGATCTTAGTTTTCTGAATGTTGAGCTTTAAGCCGACTTTTTCACTCTCCTCTTTAATTTTTTATCAAGAGGCTCTTCTTCATTTTCTGCCATAAGGGTGGTGTCATATGCATATCTGAGGTTATTGATATGTCTCCCAGCAATCTTGATTCCAGCTTGTGCTTCCTCCAGCCCAGCATTTCTCATGATGCATTCTGCATATAAGTTAAATAAGTAGGGTGACAATAAACAGCCTTGACTTACTCCTTTTCCTATTTGGAACCAGTCTGTTGTTCCATGTCCAGTTCTAACTGTTGCTTCCTGACCTGCATACAGGTTTCTCAAGAGGCAGGTCAGGTGGTCTGGTATTATCATCTCTTTCAGAATTTTCCACAGTTTATTGTGATCCACACAGTCTATAGTCCCTTAATTATTCTGTTTCTGGTATAATAGATAAATGACAGGCTTACAAAGATATTAAAACGTATAGAAGTGATGTAAGATATACTTTTAAACAGAAGACTGAACACTTAAAAGGCAAAATATAAATTAAAGAGGTCACCAGACTACATTTTAAGAATTCTGTAATTGATTGTGGTCATATTTGGAATTCTAGGGCTGGTGATGGCAAAAGGTTTTAAACAGTGTGCCATTATGCAGGTGGCTTCCCAGAATGTTATGCTGAGAAGGATTCTGAGATTGGGGCTGAGCTCAGTGAGGGGAAAACTTCAGGTGTGATTGGTATTAACTGTCATCATTGCTAGCGAGAGGGATATTAGTAACCAGCACACCAACATCAGGGCCGCATGTCATCCTCCTGATCTACTGTCCTCGAATTCTATCTTAATATTCTTTTATCTGGTGGCTCTGATACTGAGTTAAGTCCAACAACCACAAAATAATTTTTCTACACATGTTACCATATTTGATCCAAATCAGAAACTTTTGTGAAGTTAAATGTTATTAGCCTTACTTTTCAAGTGAACAAATGAGGTCCTAAGAGACTTGTTTAAAATTTAAAACAAAAACAACCTCTTCCTCAAATGTGGTGAAGTATTATTTTAGTAACACTTTTTTGTCAATAAATAGTAAGTAATAAAGTATAATTGATTACTTTAGGAAATATAGAAAAGAATGAAAAATTACTCAATTCTAATTCTATACCCAGACCTAGGGTCTGATAATATTTTCTTTAGTATACTTTCCATCTGACTCAGTGCAGATGTGTAAAGGTCTTTGGTATACATAAAATTTGATATGTCCTCCCTTCCCACATACCTCTGTCTTCCCTATGCATTGCTATATGTTGGATCCTCAGTTTTCCTTGATCTCTACTCATAACCATGGTTGAGCCCATGGTTGAGTCCTATAGATGAGGTACGACTCCCTGCTGCCTACTTATGTATCTGCTTATATCCTCTGTATCAAGTTTGTCTCCACTGTAATCTTTGTTTGCCTTTTTCTCTCTTGATTATAAGACTCTTGACTAGCAAGTATCATATCTTCCTTGCTTATTATTTTATCTTTAGCATGTAGTTGAAGATCTGACACAATGTTTGTTGACTGGCTGAATGAATGGAACTTTTCCCATGTCAATACATAGTCTTTGAAAATATTATTCTTGGTGGGTTGTAACATCCCTTTGAAACAGTGATTGATTTTTCCATTTATGTTGGCAAAGCTGGAATTAAGCCATATCTTAATGCTTCAAAATATCTAGTTTGCTGTTCTTCCAATAATATCACACTACTTTTTAGAAAACTAGGAATAGAAGAATAAGGAATAAACAGAACCTGAAGTTAGTAGAAAGAGACAATGAAGACTGGAGTAGAAATGAATAAAATAGAGACTAAAAAGAAAAACTAGAAAATATCAATAAAACTAAAAGCTGGTTTCTTGAAAAGGTAAACAAAATTGAAAATCCTTTAGACAGACTCATCAAGAAAAAAAGAGAAAAGGGCAAAATAAAATCTGAAATGAAAGGGGAGACATTGCAACCAAATCCACAGTAAAAGAAAGGATCATAAGAGATACTATGAACCATTTTACACCAGTAAAATCAACAACCCAGAAGAAATGGATAAATTAATAGAAATGTGCAATCTTCCAAGACTGAACCAACCAGAAAGGAGTATATGAACAGACCAGTTACCCGTAATTGAAATTGAATCAGTTAAAACCAAAGTAACAAAAACAAAGCCTTTCCAACAAACCAAAGTCCAGGCCAGGTAGAAAATATTTGCAAGCAATGTAATGAGTAAGGGCTTAATTTCCAAAATATACAAACTCATATAACTCGAAAACAGAAAAACAATCGTCCAATTGAAAAATGGGCAGAAGATCTAAATAGACATTTCTCCAGAGAAGACATACAGATGACCAATAGGCACTTGAGAAGGTGCTCAACATCACTAGAGAAATAACAAATTAAAACCACAGTGAGTTACCTCCCAGAAGTCAGAAAGGGTATCATTAAAAGTCTACAAATAACAAATGCTGGAGAGGGAGTGGAGAAAAGGGAGCCCTCCTCTACAATTAGTAGGAATGTAAGTTGTTGCAGCCACTGTGGAAACAGTATGGAGATTCCTCAGAAATCTAAAAATAGAATTAGCATATGATGTAGCAATCTCCCTCCTGGGCTTATATACATACAAAACTATAATTCAAAAAGATACATATACCTCTATGTTCATAACAGCTCTATTCAAAGTAGAAAACAGAGAAACAACTAAATATCCATTGACATATGAATGCATAAGGAAGATGTGGTCCGGTTTGACAATGGAATATAACTTACCCATGAAAAGAAATGAAATAATGGCTTTTGTAGCAACATGGATATAACTAGAGATTGTCATACTAAGTGAAGTAAGTCAGAAAGAGAAAGACAGATATTGTATGATATCATTTATGTGTGAAATTTAAAATATGACACAAATGAACCTATCTGTGACACAAAAACAGAATCATGAACCTAGAGAACAGCCTGGTGGTTGCCAAGGGGGATGAAGTTGGGGAAGGGATAGAATGGGAGGTTGGGGTTAGCAGATGTAAGCTTTTATATATATATATAATGGCCTTGCTGTATAACATAGAGAAATGTGTTCAATATCCTATGATAAACCATAATGGAGAATAATATATTAAAAAAGCATGTGTATATATAAATATATATAAAACTGAATCACTTTGCTGTATGGTAATAATTAACATTGTAAATCAGATGTACTTCAATAAAAATATTGATCAAAAAAAGAAGAAAGAACTATAGCTCAGTATGTTTGTTACTATTGTGAATGCAAAATTTCTTAACAAAATTTTAACAAACCAGATTCAAGAAAATATGTAAAAAAGGTCATATGTTATGACTAAATGGAGTTTATCATATAATGCATTTGTATTAAATCTGAAAATCATCCATCTAAATTCATTATATTAGAAAAGAGAAACTACATGGTCATTTCAACAGGTGCAGAAAAGGCGTTTGAAAAAAATCCAACACCCTTTCATAACAAAAACACTCAACTGGTTAGGAATGGAAGGGAACTTAATCAACTTGATTAAGTGTATCTACAAACAAACTACAACTTATATAATATTCAGAGGTAAAAGACTTGATACTTTCTCCTTTAACATCTGGAACAAAATAAGAATGTCTGCTCTCACCACTTTTATCTAATATTGTACTGGTAGTCTGCTCTAGACCATTACAAGGCAAGAAAAAGAAATAAAAGGGAAACACATTGGAAAGGAGGAAGTAAATAGCTCTTCTTTATAGACTTTATGGTTACATGTGTGGAATATCCAAAAAAATAAAAGCTATTAGAACTAGTAAATGAATTTATTAAGGCTATAGAATATATGGTCATCATACCAAAAGCAATTATATTTCTAAATACTAACAGAAAAGTTGGAAAATAAAAAAAAATTTAAAACTCCAAAATAGCATAAAAGAATACTTAGAAATAAATTTAGTTCATGGTTTGCAAGACATTTTCACAGAAAATTACAAACACTGAATTGGATAATTAAAGATATAAAATGGAGAGCTATACCATGTTCATGGATTAGAAGACTTAATTTATTAAGATATCAGTTTCCTCCAAATTGATCTATAGATTTAATGTAGTTCCACTTAGAATAATAGCAGAATTTGTCTTATGAAATCTACAGACTGATTTTATACAAATTGTATATGGAAGTAAATGATCCTTTATCTGATAGCACAACTGTCAAAAAGTAAAAGCCTCACGTTACTGCTGCTAAATACTATTATTTAAGTTACAAACTATGCCTATCAGTTTTTAAAAAAGAAACTTACCTACGATCTGGGAACAGTTTTTGCCTTTGAAAAGTTTTTTCAAACTTTTTAAAAAATTTATTTCTATTTGGGGGAAAATTGCTTTACAGTGTTGTGTTGGTTTCTGCTGTCCAACAACACAAATCAGCCATAATTATACATCTGTCACCTCCCTCTATTGGACCTTAATAGAGAAACTGAGTGTGTCAGTGACGGACTTACAGATGTGTACAGAGAATTAAGATTTAGTCATATGTTTACATAATTTTTACTCAGTTTTCTTAAAATCATCATCATCATCTCCTCCCCTTCTTCTTCTTTTTACCTCCAAGTAAATGCTAGTATTGATAAAAACTTCAGGCCTGTGATATAAAGTACTTCTAGGATCAGCTTCATCTTGGAGTTAACGGTGGGGGATTTGTATTATTTTGAAATAGAAATTGTGTTTACTTTATATTTTATAGAAGAGAAATATTTGCATCATTTACGATTCTTTATTAATGGGAATTTTTTCCTCGTTTTTATAGGGAAGAATGGACAGAAGCTATCCAGGCTGTAGCAGACAGACTCCAGAGGCAAGAAGAAGAGAGAATGAATTGTAGTCCAACTTCACAAATTGATAATATAGGAGAGGAAGAGATGGATGCTTCTACAACCCATCATAAAAGAAAGGTAGAAGAGAACATTTTATTCCCCTTTTCAGCACAACATTTATGTGTGTGGGAAAAATATGTCAACAATTGCCATTTGCAAAAATTGTTAGCCAGTTATCTTATGATATGCCATTACATTGGTGTGAATGGTTTTTAATCAGGTGAATCTTAAACCTGTCATTGTTTAAAACCACATAATTGAAACGTCACTTCATTTCAGTGTTTCAGCAATTAGCACTGAACGCTGAAAGGACTTGTTAGGATGCAGTGACTGATGTGCCTTCATACTACTTTGTAATTTGCATTTTTCCCTTACTGTTTATTTTAATACTATTTTAGAAACTTGGAAATAAAATGTTTTCCCTAATGATTTGGTCTTTTTCCATTTGGCATTCTGTGTTCTCCTGAAAACAGAAGCTTAAATGGCTCTGTGAACTTCCTGCTTGGTGCTCCAGCCTCACTAATATCAGCAGGAAAGTGAGCAGTCTTGGAAATTACAGCTTTTTATTTTAATGGCTGCTTCTAAGCCAGTGAAGGAAACAGACTTTTCCTATCCTCAGTGCTCTAGAATAATAAACACCAATTTATGTATTTATGGGAATTGTAAATTATGTTTTTCATTACAATAGAATATTGAAAAGCATCTTCCTATGCAAAAAATGGTATTTTAAGATTAAGGGTATAAGTGTTCAAAATAGATGAATATGCCATTTTTTTATGTTAGAATATATTTATTATATTAGATTTTAAATTAACCTTCAGGTTGAGAAATGCTAATTCTTTTGGTGTTAGACTGCCTGAGTTCAAATCTCTTTTTCCTGTGTGCTAAAGATATGAAGGTAAGCTTTGCATTTACAATTTATATTTAGTTAATTTATCCTTTCCTTATCTGAAATTGCTGTTCTAATTAGAATTATATTCTATGCTTGATCTTGACCAAATGTCTGAGAGCCCTGTGTAACTTCCTTGAACACTTACCCTCTACTTGTTAGCTGTACTGTATCCCTCTTTTCTTTTGAGTCACCTTATCTACCCTGTGCCCTTGTTCCTTAGTTATTGCCAAGAGAAAAACACAGTCTAGCTTTACCTCCTTCTCAGAGAGAAAGAAGTTCCTTTTGCTCATGTATGTTCACATGTACACAATTAATTTGAAATTTGACTGTGCTCATAAATTTAAAGTCATATCCTGATTATTCTCATCCTTTGAGTAATAAACTACTTCATTCAGTAGCAAACTATACCAGCTGTAGAATTTCTGAATAACAAAGATTAATAATAAGATGTTGTATAAATAGTTAGAGGTTGAAATTGGAAAGTTTATAACACTCTTTAACTAGAAATACTGGTGTTAAAAATTTTGGAAATGAAAATGGAAATTTACAGAACTTTGAATGAAGAGAGACAAACATTTTGAATGATACAAGAATGGAAAATACTACTCTTTCTGTTGGGGCTGCTTGTAAATGATTTTTAAAGCATAATACATTTTCCCGTTTGCAGTTACCAGTGTCGATTGTCTTACAGTTTCTCATCTTTACTAGTTATCACTTGTAAGCATTTATTTCATGCTAGGCTCGGAGCTGTACTTTCATATGTATTATCTCATTTGATCCTTATAGGAGTCATACAAGGATAAGCACTGTTATTATTCCATTTCACACTTGAGTCATCTGATATTTAGAGAAGTTAAATATCTTGTTCAAGAATGTAGTGACTTTACACACTATGCAACTTCAGTATGCAGTCTGCTTTTTATTGATTCACATATCTTGAGCTTCTGCAACCTCTATATTGTTATAACATAATCAAGCTATATTAGAAAGAAAATTATACAGACAGCCTCTCATTTTATACTTTGTTTCTCAAAATAGTATGTCGTATTGTTGCTTTTACACAGTGGTTGGATATTAATTAATTTCATTTTGTATTAGAGCACTTTTGGAAAAATCAGTAGAATTTGAATATTATAGAATACTGGTGGAAAGGGAAACTTTTGTTGTCCTAGTACTTGTGTTCAAGTCCTGGATCTACCATGTGTATTATTGTGGGGGAAGTTTCTTAATTCTTCTGTCCTTTAGTTTCTTGTCTGTAAAAGGGAGATAACAGTGGTATTTACCTCATAGAGTTGAGAGGATTAAAATATAGCTGGGAGTGTATGTAAATTGTTTATATACTAAATGCTCAGTGAATATTAGCTAGTATTAGATAGTATTTTACTTTATCCACAGAAAGAAAATTAAACATTCACATATTTTTGAAACAGAGTCTCTTAGAATTCTCTTGTTGAAACTAAGTCTCCAAAATGAAAAATTGATAGTCAGAAGTATTATTTTGAATTTTGGAATGGGATCCATTTTCTTATTTGGCCTGTATCTTATTTCCTTGTAATTTTAATATTTTATTTAAAATGAAATGATATAAAACAGTTTGAAATAACAGTACAGAAAAAGAACATTTGTACCACTAACTAACTGTTCTAGAACAATCCTAATAACTTGTTTCAAAAGGGTGAAATATTGCTATCACTTCCTTAAGATAAATGACTCTAAAACTACAGCTGACACTTGAACAACACAGAGGCTTGGTGAGCCCTACCCTCTGTACAGTTAAGAATCTGCCTTTAATTTATAGTTGACCCTCTGTGTCCCGGTTCTTCTCTATCTGTGGTTCCTCTGAAGCAGCGGTACATCCATATCCACAGTTGCTTTGTATCTGCCTGTGGTTGTGCATCTGAGGATTCAATCAATAGTGGATCCAAAAGAAATCGATTGAAAAAAATCCACAAATAAGTGGACCCATACAGCCCAAACCCATTATTGGTCAAGAGGCAACTGTATATCTTTTGTGAATGTTACTTATAAAAAGAATTGTATAAATTCAGATTATTTTTAATTTTAGATTGTAAACCCAAATATTCTGTGATAAGAATATCCTCATAATTTCTGGAATACATTTTCTTTGTTCACTTTTTGACAAATAGATACTAGGAGAAAGAGAATAGCTACTGGTAATGGTAGCTATGATGAGAATTGTCCTGACTGTTCTCTCTTGTTTGGGTCAAACAGATGGTTATTTTTTCTTAGTGGTATAGTATTGCCATTGTGTCTGCTCTTCAGATTGAAACTCTTGGAGAGGGAAAGATAATGGTGGTAGAGAGAAGAGGCAACAGCCTTGCAACTAGATTCAAGTGCTGATCTTTGTTTAAATTAAAAGATGACGTTTCAAAGGAATTTGATTAGAATACTCAGAAATATCTAATCTTGGTCTGCCAAGCTGCCACTATCTGGACCCTGTTAGATACGTAAAGGGCCACAGTAAAAGCATTAATAGCCAAATGGGAATAAAATATTTGCTTAGTTTTTAAATGATTAATATAGACTTCTCTGGACATAGCTGGTTATCATCTCATGACTTAGGAAGTATAATCAGTAAAGTATAATTCAGTTCAGTTCAGTCACTCAGTAGTCTGTGACTCTTTGCGACCCTATGGACTACAGTACTAAAGGATAATTAGTACCTCCTATATTCCCATTATGTCTGATTCTAGTTCTTGGAATTTTATTATTTAATGCCCGACTACCATAACTCATAGCAATCACTGGCATACAGAGAAGGAGAGAAAGAAAAGAACAGACCTGAAATCAAGTCATTTCTCACTTCCTCCCTAGAGGGAGGAGCAGCATAATCAGTGTTATATAAATTGATAAGATTAGAGCTTCTCCTTTCATTGGGAAAAATCACTTGAGGAATGGAGGAGAGATGTGGGCAGAGAGATTTACTTCTTGAAAGACTCCTTTTCACTGCTTGGACCTTATTTGGTGTATCTCTTACATTGTAAATGTGTGTGGAATTGATCTTTTTGGCCAAACTTGCTAAAACCACTGTATCCTTTTCCTCATATTCCTCTTCATTTATATATATTTGTAACCTAATTTGGGGGTTTGGGGGCTTGACAATTATTTTTCTTACAATCTAGTGTGTGATTTGAATATACTTTTAAAAAATTTATGTATTTATTTTAATTGGAGGCTAATTAAAATATTGTAGTGGTTTTTGCCATACACTGACATGAATCAGCCATGGGTGTACATATGCCCCCCCATTGTGAAGCCCCCTCCCACCCCCCTCCCCATCCCATCCCTCTGGGTTGTCCCAGTGCACTGGCTTTGAGTGCCCTGTTTCATGCATTGAACTTGGACTGGTGATGTATTTCACATATGGTAGTATACATGTTTCAGTGCTATTCTCTCAAATCATCCCACCCTCGCCTTGTGTATGCACATGCATCTTTTAGCCTAAAACAGCTACATTGATATGTTACAGAGATTATATGTACAGGAAAGAGTATAATTCTGTAAAAATATTTTGTAATAAATTCTTAAGTTTGGGTTTTGGAGCATTACTTTTCTACAGAGTATCTAATGCTTTTATTTTAAAAAAGTTTTATTGAAGTATTTTTATAGATGTTTCAGTTACTAAAAATTTTCTTTTATTTAAGTATAGTTGATACACAAAATTATGTTAGTTGATTTATAATATTGTGTTGGTTTCCCCTTTGGTAATCATAGTTTGTTTTCTGTCTGAATGTTTCTGTTTTGTAAAGAATTCATTTGCACTGGTTTTTAAATTTCCACATATAAATGATATTTATTGTCTTTCTCTATCTGAATTACTTCACTTCACTTCTCTAGGTGCATTCATGTTGTTGCAAAAAGCTTTATTTCATTCTTTTCTATGGCTGAGTAATATTTCATTGTATGTATGTGTATATATGCACACACATATGTACATTTACACATATATACATATGTGTGATGCGTATATACACATACACATATATACATGTGTGTAAATGTACACACATATGTACATTTACACATATATACATAAACACACATTTGTTGGTTTACTTGCTCAATTGTGTCCAACTCCTTTGCAACCTCATGGATTATATAGCCTGACAGGCTCCTCTCTCCATTGACTTTTCCAAGCAGGAATACTGGAATGGGTTGCCATTTC